GGGGGGGGGGGGGGTTGGGCATCCGCGCGGTATTCCTCCCGGCCGGAGGCGACCCCGCCCGCCGAGGCCCCGCAGAAGCCGCTCCTCAAGAGGAGCGCGTCGATGAACTCCGTGGTGAGCTCGGCCTCCAAGATGGGGGAGAGTAGTTGTGATAGCGGTCCGAGGGTGAACCCCGCCACCAGCAGGCAGTCCCTGCCGAGGGGTTACGGTGGGCCCATGCTGGCGCCGGGCGCCGGGGGCGGCGAGGAGCTGGTCGTGGTCGACCCGAAGGCCTCCCTGAGGAGACTCTACGCGGCGATAGAGGGGCGGGGCATGGTGGCCACCAAGCGCAACCCTAACGGGAAGGGGCGGTCGAGGGTCATGGTGAGGTCCAAGATCAAGGAGAACAGCATCGGCTGGGCGCACGTCTTGCCCCCCTTCACGAGGAAGTTTGTGAGCGTGAAGGACATCGCGGGGGCGCAGCGGTCATCCCGCGTGGTGACGGTGAACTTCAGGAATCGCGAACCGGTGAGCGAACGAGGGAAGGGAAGACGTCGGTGGCGGCTGTTCAGGTTGTGGCTGACCTGTCCCGGGTGTTGCGTTGTTGTCGAACGCTTGCAGTGTTGGCCTCGTCGCCTTGTCGGCTCCCTATCATGTTCGAGGTGTTTTTTAGGTTTGTTCATGTCTGTAAGGGATGCTTTCCTGCTTGGTGTATCTATCATTATTTCTCTTCGTACGTCAAGACGAGCTCTATGCGCATGTTTTAGCTATGTCGGCATGCCGGCGGCATATATGATGGAGGCAGTAGTGATGTAGCAGTGTGCCGGAAGGTCTCGTTACACTTGTTATTTTTTGACGACACAAGCGTGGCTGGCCCTATGGAGGACGCCTTGACGTTTGCCTTACTCAAAAACCGATCCTTTCGCTTCTGCCGTTCCTGAACAATTTCAATTTCAATATGTTTGGCCGATTGTTCATTGTACAGAGTGCCTCTACTTTTTTCGGCGGCACTTGTGGGGTCGCACCAGCATGTTGTTATGAGGGTTTGTTTGGGTATAGCTGCCATCCTACAAAAGCTGCCATGTTTGGGTATGACTGCCATCATACTACCTTGTCTCTTCCCCTGCACTTGTTGCTGGCCTCGCTCGCGGCCCACGTGTGTGCGTTTATTTTTTTTTCGTCGACTATCGTTGACCGCGCTACCCGACTGAACAATGAAAATGACTCAGGTCTCCTCTTGCATTGTGTGTGTTTCATTCCTCTTGTCTGCCTTCACCAACGCCGTCCAGGTGATGTTCGAGACCGACAAGCTCACGGACGCTCTTATCCTGGAGCAGGGCTTCGTCTCTTTGGCTACCCTCCAGAAACAGAATCTGTAAGAACGCGCTCGTCGTTGTGAGCAACCTCTTGGCTGGAAGGGGCTGCTGTCTGAGAGGAACTCTGCCGATATCTCTGTTTTACCCAATATTGTATTTTCATTTAGAAACGGTGGGAGGTGGTGGCAGCGCGGGAAGGGACGATGGGAGCGTGTTGGTGGGGGACCAGGGTGGAGCATTCACGGAGCCCTTGTGGCAACGCGGGAAGGGGCGTTAGGAGCGTGTTGGTCGGGGGGGGAAGGGCCAGAGTGGAGCACTCACGGAGCCCCTACCATAAGGGCTGGTACTTTCTTTCCAGTCTCCTACTTTGGGGGTGCATGTGACTCGCGCACGATGTGATGCGCCTGGCGTTCGAGTATTGCGTGTGTCTGTTCCTTTGGGGTTGGCTCGTGTCCTTAGATTCCAAGAGAGGGAGGGTATCGTGCAATACACCACGCCTGCAACATACCTACTAGCGCATGGCCGCCTTTTTGTTCTAGTGATGCGGTACAGTCACCGTGCTCTAGCGTGGCTGGTGTTTTTTTTGCTCCTTGCTTTGCAACGGTTCTATATAGGCTCTGAACTCGAACGCCAGAAAACCGTTTTTTGGTTTAGGAAAATCTGGTAGTTTCTGTGGGGGATGCGTGCCACGGCTGCTTTGCAGCGTGTGTGCCTACCTAGATCATGTGGGCGTCTTGGTCGAGTGGTTTGGTAGAGAGAGAGGCATGAGGTTGGAGTGATTCCCTGCTCAGCTGACTGTGGGATGCGGAAGAAAACGCGAGCTTTGTTGCTCGACGACGTTTCGTGTTTCGAATGGCACGGGCAGGGATAGGAGTTTTGTGGGCTGTGAATGATGTGGATACAAGTAGTGTTGTCGTTCTTGCATGTCCAATCGTTCCTGTCGCCGTGTTCAGTTCAGCAATGCTAACCCGGCTCGTCCCTTTGTCGAGACGGGAGCGATGGATATTTTTTGTTTTCTCAGTCTTTTAAGAGTAGCTCGCGCGGTGTGTGTTTGACCCGACGCTCGCCGATGTTTCTTGCTGTCTTGTCTAGTACTATAGTGGCTCGCTCCCTCGAGCATCGCCTTCGAACCTCTCGCGCACCTCACCTGGGCCTGTCGCGTTCCGCCCCCGTGTTCTTCCATTACTGATTGATTGATGTGTCGAGTTTTTCCGTGCATCCATGCCTGACTTCAAGAACCGGAGAGCGAAGGAGGCGTCCATCTGAAAATATCCATGTTTTTTATCCGTACTGCCGCGGTCGTGAGCGATGACAGAGTCTCGGCGAGAAGTTTTGTTGGTGAACCGATGGTTTACATGACGCCAAAGGCGTACCTGTGTTCCGCGTAAATATTACGCAAAATATCAGACATGCATCCAGGGAGGAAGAGCGAGAGAACACGTGCAAGGTCGCGATAGATACTTTTGTACAGTAGGTTTCCGTTGTCACGCCCTCTCTCTCTGTGCTCTCTTGTGAGTCTTTGTGTTAATTGTATGGTGTCGTTTTTTTTTGTTGTCTGTGGACAGGCAGGCACGCGTGTGGAGTTGTGGCAGCAACGTACCTCTTGCTGCGCAGCTCATACCCGCGAGGCGTGCTTGCGTTCAAGCCACATCGTGGCCATGATTGCTGTGTATGCCGTGAGGGTCTTTTATAGTAGGTCCCGGTCTAAGCATCTGATCGAGGTGGACGGAGAGCGAATACGAGAGACGGGATGGACTTTCTTGCCTATGGATATTCAACTGGATGATTCACTGTTCATAATCGAGGCACATGACCTCTGTTTTCGCGGCTGCTCTTTGTGCCGTTGGGCAAATAGAAATTTTTGTCGGTGTATGACTTCCACAACACAGGTCATGCGTGTGAGGTTGTACACGCTTGGGGCGAATCGTGCTGGCGTTACATGTATGCACACGTGCCGTCTGGGGATGGCAGGAGGTGGGCGGTTGGAAGAGAGACTTTCCGCAGAACGTGGGAGTGTGTGGCAACCATTCTTTTTGGTGTTGTTTTCCATGGACGGTGCAGTAGTGTGTGTGATTTTTTTTTTTTTTCCTGTTATCTAGGAGACGCGCTCCACCAGCTTTCTTTTTCACGTACTACATGGTTCTCTTGGTTCCCTTGGCGTAATACTACTTCGTCGATCCCCTCGAGGTTTGCGGTCCGGTCGACAACCGATCGGTCGTGGAGTTCCTGGGAGGCATCTAGCGTAAGCCAACTAGAGTTTCTTTCGTTTCCACGTGACCTGCTTGGTGCTTGTTGTGTGTCTCCGCTTTCGATCGCGCGTGTCTCACGTTCTTGAGGTTTGGTCTACAAGAAATTAGCTGATCGGTAAACGCTCAAGTTCGTTCGATGTGATGTTTATTCGTTACACTCGAAGTAAGAGAGCTCCCGGAGTGTTGAGTGCTGCATGGAGGTGGTACGTCGAGAGTGATGCAGAGCTTGCTTGTTGTGCTGGTGCTGGATTCACCCATCGTTCAATCCAATCCAGTTCATTCAGTTCAGCGATGTGGGTCGAACCAACCGCTACTTTAACAATTTGTCGTGTGTTGTTTCGACCATGTTGTGCTTGAAGTACACCTCAACTTGACGTAGAGGATACGGATGGTGTACGCTTGGAGGGAGGGTATTCTAGAATCATGTCATTTGTCCCGTGCCTTTGTTTGGTCTTTGTCGCGTCGTTGTTTGGTCTTGAGTTATGTCGGGGAAACCACAGCGGCAGTTACAGTAGTAGTATAGTTGTATGATGGGAGTTTCTTGTTTCCCAAATTGGGAACAGGTGGGATGAAAGGAGAAACATTTGCTTATGAATAAATATAGACGGATGGTTGAAGCGACAAGAGCTCGTGTTGTGCTTCGGAGGGAGGGGGTGGCTTTGCGCCGACCGGTGACCAGACAACCTCAAGTTATTCTTGAATATATCGTTGGTAGATATATGCATCAGTGTAGAACTGGCGAGAAGACGTCATGGGATGATGGGTCAGCTGCCTTGATCGGTGAATGCATGCGTTCTTGAACTCGTATACTAAGTGCGTACATATGTATCATCTTTGCACCGAGCCTCTGGTTTCTGTGTATCTACATATTGAATTGTAAACCATCTCGCTTCGTCTACGACGAAGAGACGGATGGAAGGACGCTTCGCTGAGCCGTCTCTTGCTATGGCATGGCGGAAACAACTCGTTACCGTTCCACTCAAGCACGGTGATTCTTTGCTGCATGGCTTATGGGTTCACTAGGCGACAGCAGTCAATCGTTGCCTGCCGTCATGCGGTGCACGGGTGCACAATTCTTTCCTTCAGAAGTTGTCATCAAGCCCCGTCATCGATGGTGCACATGACGATCCTATCAGACCCCCTTCAATGACGCACCCACCCACGGCGGCAGTATCCGCCAGGTGCTAATAATGTGCACTTTCCTCACAAACCCCCCCCGCTCTCCTGCCGTGTTTGCTTTCCATTTCGATCACCACAAAAACTAATAAAGTCGAGTACTAGTCGTCGGTACTACACACGTCGGTCATTACGTTTGACTGGCATGGCACCGAGCGTACCACCTATCTAGGTGAATCGAGCAGTTTGTTAATTGTTTATTATCTCTTCCGCCCGGTGTTTGCTGCACCAGAGTATATGTCCACCCATCAAATCATATTCGGAACATCCCCATTTCCAACACTGCCCTTTTTGCCCCCCTTGCCCCCCCCCCCCCTTGTTCTTGTGTGGAGTAATCGAGTGCTGAACCTGGCGGTCCATCTGGGATAAAATACTACGGGCCGGTCGGCGGCCAAGACTCAAAGCAGCCACGCAACGCGCAGCACTAGTCTACTCCACGGAAAACTAGTCCAGTTTTTTTTTGCTGTATTATTTGCGAGGAAGGCAAGGAAGGGGGGGGCGTCTGATAGCGACCAACCACAGAGAGCGACGTCGCCGCGATCGACCAAGCCACCCGAAGTAATTTGATCCATCGAGCGTTGACCATACAGTCCAACTGCTGTGTGTACAGCAGTCCAACTGCTGTGTGCCGGTAGGGCAGCTTATTATGTACTCACGTGCGGAGCCTGATACCCTACATATTACGACCAAGACAGAAACAAACAGCATGGCTCCGCGAGGGGTTGCGGTCAGTTAGACAGATCGTCTGCACATAGTCCGCAGAAAAGATGTGGGTCACTACGTCGGCTATCGACACTGCCCAGAGTAACACGATGATGCACGTCGCCCCAGCGCAGACGGTCTTCTACTGGTGATGATGTAGACTAAACGAAGTCAAGATCCTTCCGTCGCAACGATGTATGTTGATTACACGGCAGGCCATGTATCGTTCCTAAACTACATAGTCTACATGTAGAGTTTTACTCCAACCCGTGGTCACACGACTTCATCCTCATGCGTCAGACGGACCGGCGTTTCGTGCGTAATATCTCCGTCAAACGTGTCGACTTCAAGGACTCTGACCACAACCTCGTGCTTACGACTACTGTCCGCCTCCCCCCCTGTGTCGCACCCAACCGATGATTGCGGGGGAACAGCGGAAGCAGCCGGATCCGTATCGACCTCGAGCGGTTGAGGAAGGACAAACATCTACGGGTCGCCCTTCCAAAACAGTGCCTCCAGCTGCCCTCCGCCCACGGCGCTCAGGCGGCCAACGGGAGAGACCGCCGCCGAGCTGACGGCTACGGTGATGTCGGCCGCCGCTGAGACCGCGCCTCTGGCGAGGTGCGCACGAGGGCAGAGAGGCTGGTACACGAGCGAAACGCAGCACGAGATCTCCGACGCGTCGAAAGAGATTAAGGCGGCCCAGCAGTAACAACTGCGTGGGGCCTCAAAGAACAGCGCCTTCGAGGCGACCCTGAAGNCTTCCAAAACAGTGCCTCCAGCTGCCCTCCGCCCACGGCGCTCAGGCGGCCAACGGGAGAGACCGCCGCCGAGCTGACGGCTACGGTGATGTCGGCCGCCGCTGAGACCGCGCCTCTGGCGAGGTGCGCACGAGGGCAGAGAGGCTGGTACACGAGCGAAACGCAGCACGAGATCTCCGACGCGTCGAAAGAGATTAAGGCGGCCCAGCAGTAACAACTGCGTGGGGCCTCAAAGAACAGCGCCTTCGAGGCGACCCTGAAGGCGACGCTCAAGGCGGCGCGGAAGAAGCGCAGCACCGCGAGGTGGAGGGCACTGTGTAAGATAAAGTTACACCATTTGTCAAGCCAGCGCTGACTTGTCTAATGGTGTAACTTTCTCTTACAAAAGATATACGCTCAGCTCGTTAGCATTCGGCTGGATCACATTTTTGGGGTTTAGAGCTTGGGATTGAGAGCAGGGATCTCCGGGGCCGGACCCCTCGCCAGGCGATGACTGAGAAGACCATAATGGTGATTGGGAAAGTGAGTAGCCGGGATTCGAACCCGTGCGTGAAACTTTTGTCGCCAATTGTTAAACCGTTCGTCTGGTTAGCGCTGACAAGCTCTAAACCCCAAAAATGTGATCCAGCCGAATGCTAACGAGCTGAGCGTATATCTTTCGTAAGATAAAGTTACACGCTGGCTTGACTAATGGTGTAACTTTATCTTTACACTTGGTTTGTGGAATGTTTTTCACGATTTTTCGATTTAGCAACTTTCTTCCAAGTAACACATCACGCCACCATCGCAATTACACAGTCTACTGAGAACATGTCAGCGCGGCCAAAGAGAAGGCCAGCGCCCAGCGAAAGGCCTTGGAGTTGGCGCGCCACCAACAAAAAAACAGGGAGGCCGCACGCACGCACGCACGCACGCACACTCAACAGCAGCAGCAGTGAGAGTCCCTTGTCATCAAGCAAGGTGCACACCTAGTCTAGCTGTCACGCAGCGCACCACGAAAAAACAACAGCACCTGCGGACAGGGGAAGTTCGTGGGAGGACGGGGTTGACACACAGACAGCCAATCACATGAAGCCGCTTATTATTCTCAATATGAAAATTTTCACCTGCACACCTGCACGAAGTTTTGCGAAGGTGTACACCGATCCAGGTAAAAGTCAATCGCCGGATAACCTGCGAATCGGGTCCTCTCCACCCACAGAATTTACCCTCCACTCAACTGGGAACCTCTTGTGGGAAGGATAGGGAACTCGATGGAAGTGTCACAAGGTTCTTTGTAGGATCGACTCCACGAGGTGTTCTCAGGACTGACACATGCTGTGTCCATGGGAAAAGGTCCAGAGGGGAGAAAGTGTGCACCCAAGGAGATTCAAACCAGTATTGTTGTTTCTCACATTAGCTATAAAAAAAGAAAGATTGGGAGCCCGTGGTCTCAAAACCCGGCATACATACACGACCCCACGAAGAAACAGAAAAAAATAGGGTACAAAAACCACTCGGAAGAGAAACAAAATGATAGAAAGAAAGACCAGCTACCGCACCAAACGAGAAAGAGCGTCGAGGAGACCGATCAAAA